ATTCCTCGCGAACCTGTTCCATCATCTCTCTCTCTCTCTCTCTCTCTCTCTCTCCTTTCCTCTCTTTTCTCAACCCTCGTCACCCCCTTGCCGCGAGAGACGACAGAGCCTTTTCTAGCCGAAACGCGAGGCAACCGGTCGGTAGTTGCTCGCTCGTGTTAAGAGATGAGACCGATCCCTGGATCGGGGAGGGAAAGAAGCTGTCTTCTTCGTACGATCACACCGTACGACGTAAAAGTTTCGCTAGAAAACGAAAAATTTCGCTGTGAAATAATTGGCGCGCATTCCACAGACGGGATAAGGTGGTGGCTTTTGCCGAATTGGTAAACGGCCGCGGTTGATCGCGAATTTCCGACATCAGATGTCCGTACGAACGAATACACGGAGAGGAAGAAATAGCCCCGGCCGCGTGTGTAGTCTTTGCTGGCGCGAGCAGGAGCGAGTAGGAGCGAGTAGGAGCGAGCGATCGGTCCGGATAGCCGGCCGGCCGGCCGGTAGTTCGATCGGCAAGGAGACGCTAGTTCGTCGAATAGTCAGTCGGTGCAGACGATCGTCCCGAGGTCGTCGTCGAGGGACATAACGGATCCGGCTGTTTGTCTGTTCCGAGTAAGGTACGCGGCGCGCATGCGTAATGCCGCTGCATTCCAAGCATTGCAAAGTCGCTGCACCGTGCGCGCCGGTGCATCGCCCGATGCCAGAGAAAGAGAAACGAATTAACCGAGACATCGAGCAGAAGCGAGAGATAGACGTGACCACCGAGTGTAGAGGGAACAGAGGAGGAAGCCGCAATGACAAATGTGCCTTCGATCGTTCGTTTGATCGACCGTTTTCTTCCATTATCCCCTTCCCCTCTGCTTTCGTTTTTACTCCGCGCGTCCTTTCTGCCGAAATATGCACGATTTTTTATACCTTCCTCCGGTAGTTTCTTTTTCTTTTTTTTTTTTTTGGCGATACGCGTTGTGCACAATCATCGAACTGAAACAACAAGAGAAAAGGAGACGAGAGACGAGACGGAAACACTAGCCGAGAAAAGTATCGGCCTAGCGGACAGCTAGCTTAGAGAATGTCTCGCGAGTTCTCAGAATCTTTCGACCGTG